AACTTTTGTGTCAGACAATGAGAAGGGAAAACTGCTTATTCCTTCAAACTTGACACTTTGGGATGCAAAGAACTCTTTAGGAATCTGATAAAAGGCTGCTGAAATACCTCCCCATCCAAAAACCCTGCACACCCACCAACTGCACAGAGGGATTCATGGACATCCTCCGCTCCCCCCCCCCCACACACACACATGGATCCTTGGAGCAATTGGGTGTCTAGAAGTCCAACCAGAGATCCCCCAAACCCATTCACCCCTCTAAACATGTCCACTGCAAAGCTGGCTTGATCAAGCCTACCCACCCCTAGAGACCCCACCTTCATTTCTGAGCCTCAAGCCTCACACTGCCAGGCTCTCCCTGCCCCCACACAACCCTTGCAGACAGAAGTGGGGGGTGGTGTATTTACCAGTCTCCGTGGCAGATGAGCAAACCGAGAAGTAAGCAGCAGCTGTATTTAGGGGTCAAGCAGAGAAAGAGGGAAAGGCTTCAAGCTACTCAATCAGAGGAGCACCTGGGGATAATTATGCAACATCTGGCAACCACACTGGTCCTTACAGTGTCCCTAAAGCACCGAGCTTCAAGCCCACTCTGAGCGCTGCCATGCTCCCACCTACTGCGCCCTCCACCCCACCTTCTCTGGGACGGTACCCTATGGGCCTCAGCTGGCACTAGCTCCACCAGGGGAAGGAATGAGCAAAAAGGGTGAGGGGCTCTGGCCCAGCTCTGCCCCGTGGGCAAGGCTGCAGCTTTGGTTTTCTGAAAGAGAGAAAGAGGGAGGGAGGAAAGGAAGGGAGGGAGGGAGGGAGGGAGGGAAGGAGGGAGGAAGGAAGCAAGAAAGAAAAAAATAAGAAAAAGGAAAAAAGAAAAAATGCATAAGCCTTTCCAAGTCTAAAATCCAATGATTTCCATTTCAAAGTATCGTCTTCTCAAATTCTGACTGTAATTATAATAAGGGCTACTCGTTTGGGGTATGTTTTATATGCAAAAAAACTAGCTTACTATTCTAGATACATCATCACATTTTGCCTCACAACAACTGAAGGAAGGAGGCAGCATTGTGGTTATATCATCTCCACTTAAAGGAAACTGAGATTCAGAGAGATGAAGTAACATTCCCATGGTCATACACAGTGAGACAACCACACAGCCCGTGCCCCTAACCACTGAGCTTGCCGCCCTGCACTACACCCTCCCCAGATACCAGAGACCCTGTGGGAATCCTGCTGATACAGGGAGGGAACCAGAGTTGGGTAATACTGTCCTCATTTTATAAATAAATTTTATTAACTCTTATCAGAGGTAAAGTGGCTTGCTGAAAGTCATGTCATGGCAGAGTCAGACATAATAATCCAGAAGCTTCGGGGCTTCTGTTTCCGCTGCTAACTTCCTGGGCCTTGGAAGCCAGTGAACAGATCTGGCTCCATTTTTCCTGTGTAATAATTGCTTTGTCCTTCCTCTGTTGAAGGTCTTTTGCCCTCTTCTCTGATTAGCCATAGCTTGAGTGATAATTCTAAACAAGGGGTGAGTTAATCTTTAGTCCTGGCAAAATGAGCAGCGTAATGAACAAAAACAAAGAAACAAACTCCTCCAGCAAGGAAAATCCACTCGGAACACACTGTACGAGAAACCCCATCCTTTTCACACAGCCCACCCCACAGCTTTGTCAGATGGTCACCACGTAAGGAGATGTTTTGCTGTAATTTGCACAAAGAAATCAAGACAAGAATGGTATTTCATTTGACCTCTTCATGCCTAAAATGGGCAATTGTTAACTAGGAAGGAATTACATTTTAACTCCCACTTGTAGGAGACATGAGTTCTCAGGCACCCAGATGTTGCCAAATGCCACACTTCCAGGAGAGAACCTAGTACCTAGAGAACCTAGGAGAACCTCGGTGTGGTGACGCTGCCAATGTGCCCAGACTCCCCACACCTGTGCAGGAGGGCTCAGCCTGCAGGCTGCTTCCAGCCACCTCTGCCAACGCTCAGTGGTGGTAAACAACCAGGGAATAACCATGGTACCTGGCAATGCCAGGACAGTATGAACCTGGCATGTCATCTGCAATCCAGGCCAGGGACAGGGGGGCTTGCCCACTAGAAATCAGTAAAGGTGGCTTCTTCACGCTCTTCTAGACAAACCGAGGGTCATACTGAGTGCGTTCCAGGGGACAAGGGGTAGGTCAACGCAAACAAAGGCTATTTGAAAAACATAAACCCCGCATCTGGGGTGAGTCTGGGGCACACCTGTCAAGTGTGCAGCTACCCAACAGCTTTGGGGCTGCCTTCCCCTGTTGGCAGTTGCCCACCTCATCAGTCCTGCCTTCTTGCCGTCCTTCACTTCCCCAGCATTGCATGCTGTTGGGGGGCAGACATGTGGGCCAGGACCATGGGCCCAGGGCCAGGTGATGGTGATTTGGAAGGGAACAGAGTAAGAAAGCAAGCCCAGGATCTCCCCTCCAGTGACCTTGCAGCAGGGCTCCTGGCTCTTTAGGAGCAGCAGGAAAGACACTTCCAGCACCTGGATGCTGGTGCTGATGGTGTGAGCTGTAGAGTTGGTACCAGATGGTGACAGAAATGTGTCTTCCCTGCAGCCAACCTGCAGTATGGCGGGGGGCTGTTTCAGCTGCAGGCAGTGTTTTAGCCTGGGACTGAAGATGTCCTTGCACGAACCAACCTTATGTCACCAAAGGTTCAAATGTACATCCCGAGTAGATTTCTAAAGGGCCTTTGCCCAGGAGCTCCTGGGATGGCGGAGGAGTACACACATACCTGGGAGATACTGTTCCAGACCAAGGCAATGAAGCGAGTCTCTCAATAAAGCAAGTCTCACAATATAGTGACTTACGATCTTTCTCAGGGGGCTGGGAGGCCTTGCCTTCAATTTGTGAGAAAGGTAATGTCCATGAGGCACATTGAAGAGAAGCACCATCGAGTGAGCTATGCCTGTGCAGACTCGGGAACTGGCCAGACCTATGTTCAGACTCGGCTCCACCGTCCACTGGCTCTGCAGACCCAACTGTGTAGTTTAACTTCATACCCTGTTGTTTCATATGAAAAGTGGCGACAATGAAATCCAACCACAGGACTGTTAAGAGAATAAGCTGTTAAACAAACATACCTTCAATAAGGTGCCTAGCATTGTGGTTGGTATGGCAGGTGGCCCATAAAGGTAACTTTCTTCCTGACGCTTAATTCTTAATAGTGTTGCCTCATACATTAACACTTGTTTTTTCTAAGCTGCTATCTCTAAAACATTCAACTTCTGATATGAGAGAAAAAGTCAAACAGGACGTGGTCTTCAAGCATAACACCACTAGAGATATTTTTCAGGTTGACAATGATTTATTCATAACTCTCCTGGATCGATGAGCCATAACGTCACTCAATTAGACGGTCGTCCAGCCTGCATTATAGCATCTTATATATCAGGATAGCATGTCAGACACTTGGTAAAAACTATAGTGATAGAATTTCCTCAAATCTATTGGTCCAATAATAGTCATTTTAAAAATGAAGATGCACAGAACCCGATGGGACTTAACAATGACACCCTCACGTGTGCACAGCCAGTGACAGTGTTCAGACCTTTCCCCTGCACTGTTGGTGTGGTCCGTGGAACCACTGGGCACACAGGAAGGGCATCCTCACAGGACCCTGCTGGGTCCTACCCAGGACCCTGGTTTTCTTGGAGCTCTAGGTCACATTCAGGGATCCATTCTGGGGTCCTCTCATTTACCTGGCCACCAATGTTCCTTCCCTAAGTTCCCATAATGTGCTGAGAAAAAACTAGGCACTGGATATTCAGACAGTTCTAGTTCTGACCTCGTAGAGTTTTATCAACAGAGAAAACAAATCATTAAGGAAAAATGGACCATAAATTGTGATGGGTGATAAAGCAGGGAAATCTGAGAATTTATCAGTACACAGTGGAGTCAGGTAGGAAACTAACACTAACAAGGCTCCCCTCCGCTTTTTTTTTTTTTTTTTTTTGAGCCATCCATGAAAAAAATCAGTCTCCTCAGATAATATTCATCTGATTGTAGTATATTTTTAACTCAAGCAAGGTAATGTCCAAACCACTCTGGGGGAGGCCCCTGACCACCAGGTTGAGATAGCTGAGCATTATTTGGAAAGTAACAGGGAGCCCCTGAAGTTTCCTAAGGAGGAAGGTGATAAAGTCAGAGATGCACTTGGCTCTGGATGGATGAGGGGTGGAGAGGGAGGCAGGGGGCCTCACAAATAAATATAGGAATGGCTGGTTGTATGGGCATATCCTTACAGAGATTTCACTTTCTCTACACGTCTTTGATTTTGTATGTGTATTATTTTATTCAGACTCAGCAATCAGAAGTATTAAGCAATTCTAAACGCAGGCTAAAAGTGACTTGATGTTAATTAACATAATTAATCATTGTTTTCAAGTGCAATGAGTTAGAAAGATGATGTAGTATAAAATAATCGAGTAGGGCATCTGCCAAGAAAACTAAATATCCAGTAAGTTACCATTAAAAACAATGTTTGAAACAGTTGTCAATCCACTAAAATCTTAATAATATTAATTTAATTATATGTGGCTTTTACCAAAAAGGAAACAGGATGTACATACCACAGGCTGAATTAAACTATACCAGAAATGTCCCAACCCCCGAGGAGACACTTCGAGAAGAGTGACTCAAGGACATGGTGTCAGGAGGGCACTAGACTCATTGAGGGGATCACCTCATGAGTTCTGTCGATGTCTGACCACTGAGCTGTACCCCAAAACTACTGTAATATTGGATGTCAACTGTAATTGAATTTTTAAAAAAATAGTTACTCAAACTGCAAAAGGGTCTGCAGTGACGACAGGGGTCCCTTGCATCTCCCTTCTGTTTTGTGTGACTGTGAGTGAAGAGAAGGCCAAAGGTGTGGTGGTTTCTCCAAGACATTTTCAGGCCTCCATGTGCCCCCATTTCTTGGAAGGTCAGGACTGGTCGGCAGTGACAGTCGTGGCTCTTACCCAGCGTCATCCTGGAAGCCTTCCAACTCATCCCGCTGCTCTGCCAGGGTGGCCTCCAGGTCCAGGTAGGCGCCGTTGTGGGACAGCTGCAGCGTGCAGTCATCGAGCTGTGGGAGAAAGAGCCTGTTAAGCCAGCCTGCTCCTGGATGGGGACTCTGTGTGCAGAAACCACTTCATGTTGCCCTCATGTGGTTTTTCAAATCAAGCATTACTCGGAAATTCCGCTCATAATCATAAGAGGTAGTGTGTTCGTGTAAATAGATTGGGAGCAGACTGCTTACCGAGTGGACAGATGGGACACCAATAATGGAGTGGCACTGACAGGGCCCAGAGATGTAGGTGGGGGGAGGGGGAGAGAAGGAGCCCTTTGGGTCCTGGGCCAGTTTCCTCTCCAAGGGGCCCAGGAGAATCTATGGATCTGGGGAGTGGAAACCAAGATCACAATGCTGACATGAACATGGACTAAGAGTCACAGAGTTTAAAAGGCAAATTTGGTGGGGAAAACACACTGTTTCCTTTGATTCAGTGAGAAGCCTACTTATGAAGATTCTTTCATACTTCGCACATTGCAATTAATAGTTGCTCAATAAACATTTTCACAGTTGAACTGAAAGAAACATTCTCCATTTGGATGACAACATATCCAAATCACAACACACCACAGAGGACATGCAGTCTCTCTTGTTACCAGTCTCAGTTTTTAAAAATGTATTTAACAAATACTTATTCATTATGTCCCATGCATACTTCTAAGCATTTTGCATATGTTACTTCATTTGATCTCACATGAACCTTATTAAGTTCTATTGTTATCCCCACTGTACAGGTGAAAAAACTGAGGCACAGAGAGAGACTAAGTTATTTGCCTAATGTCCCATCTGGTGAATGATGGAGCTGGGATTTGGATACCAGCAGTTTGACTCAAGATCCTGCTCACCACTAAGCTCTGACCCTCCCTGTGGCCTGAGACCTACAAAGGACTTAAAAACATCAACCTTACAGGATGCAGCTTATGGCATCTGAGTGTGCCAGTGTGGCCAAGGTGACTCCCTGTGCATGTCAACCCCCTTCTCTTTCCCTGCCGGACACACAGACCTCATATCCCAGCCACATAATTGGGCTTTGGCCATGTAACTGAGTACCAGCCAATGGCACGTGAGCGAAAGTGAACAAGGCACCCGACAGGCCTGACCATAACACCCCTGCACAGCCTTCCACTTCTCTTCTGTTGCTCGAGGCACATGCAGAGGAGCCAGTAGAGGACTCCAAACTCTAGAAACCGCCAGAGCCCTGGACGGAGGAGCTCGGATTCCCGGATCACTGCACGAAGCGGAGCCCGTTGCTACCCACGCTGCACCGGGCAGTGACGAGAGCAAGACGCGGCCTTTGCAGCAGCGAGTCGGTAGTGACAGCAGCACTGCATGACGTTTAGAATGAACAATACACGTAAAAATGAAGGAAAATAATTTTACCAAGATTAAAATTGACGTGGTGACAAGTGTATGATTTCATGCTTGATTTCTTGGGCTATAGGGTAGCTCGTACTCACCTACTTGCTAAGTTTCTTGTTTCAAAATGACAGGAGACTGGGGCTGGAGTCGAGGCAAGTGTGTGGCTCTTTTAAAACATCTAAATGGACACTTGATAATACTTCCACAGTGAGATTTCAGACAGGGAATTAGTCTCCTTTGATAGAAAAGTTTTGCTTATTAGACTCAGCAAGAGAACAGGAGAATGTTAACTTCTCTAGAGTCAGCATTTATAAGAGGCTGCTGATTCTTTTTTATCTTGGAAAACAACTGTATTGAACTATAACTTACATTAAATTGCATAGATTTTAAGGGTACAGTTTGATGAGATTTCTTTTTTTCAATTAGAGACCCCGCAGGTCTGTGTTTCTGGTTATCCTCAACAGAATGAAAGGAATTTGTTCTCTATTATTTGTAAGGAACGCCTAGTGAAATTGCTTGAAGGGGTTAATCCTATTTGATTCACTTGTTTCATTTCTCTAGTAGCAAACTGTCCCTCCAAGGGCGTGCTGCTGCAGTTCGGCATTCTTGACTGGCACTTGCAGATGGATCCTCCGATCCGAGACAACTGTACTTGAACAACAGTAAAAGAAATGAAAATTAAAATAAAACAGAGCATTTAAACCCAGGAATCAATGGGCCAAACTCATGGTCCTGTGGCGTCAGAGGTGCACCTGTGACTTGGGGAAACACTTGGGGGTGCTGCCTCCCCCCCGCCTGCAGAGCCAGTGGGCAGGAATGATCTCCTGCAGGAGGCGTCTCCTGAGCCAAGGTCCCCTGAGGACCAAAGTCAGACTTTATCATTCCTGGGTGGAAAATTCCATTAGAAACTGGTCCTGTTAACATGTATGCTGACCGCACGTAAAGCTGGACTCATTGAAGCTTGCTCTAGCTTTCAACTCCTCCAGGTGCTGCTAGCTAATAAAAGCTCACTTGGCCTGTTCTGTGGAGAGCATCAGCGCATTTGCTTATTTTTAATCTCACATATAATCAACAGCCTGGAAGATGGGGATAATGGGAACGCTTCAAGCCATAGCCGTTTCTTGGGCTTCAGCCCCTAGAAACAGGTGAGCCCAGAGAAAGAAGCTCTTGGGTAGAGAGTGTCTGCTTCTCCTCGAGGGTATCGGAGTCCTGCTGAGGCTGTGATCCGTACTAGGCCTAGCGGGAGAGCCCGGTGAGAAAGGACATGCTGTCCTGGTGTGGGGAGGGGCAGAATGTACAGGTGCCTGTGGTGTAAACACTCCCCCCATGGCCAGCGCCAAGCTAACAACATGAAGTCACCGAACTCAGAGTTGCAAAAAGATACACAGCAGCTCAACAGTATATAGTGTAATTACCATACAGATAGGAGATGTCGGTCAAATGTAGTAAAACAATTAGAAAGTGCCATGTTTGGAGTTATTATTATCTTTCTTTTTGGCTGTTTTTATTAAAGTATAATTGACATACAATGTTATATTCCTTTCAGTTATACAACATAGTGATTCAACATTAATACACCATAGGATATGATCACCACAGTAAGTCTAGTTAAACCATCTGCCACTATACAAAGTTATTACGATATTACTGACTATATTCCCTGGGCTGTACATCACACCCCAGTGACTTAGTTACTTTATAACTGGAAGTTTGTACCTTATTATATTTGTTTTAGTATAACTTATTAATTGCACATTTATATCATTAAGTTTTTAATAATGGCTGTGTTGAGCAACTGGCTCACAAAATCCCCAAGAATACCAGTCAGCCCTCTGAAGCCCCCAGGCCCACAGTGGAGATTATAGGGAGTGGATGCAAGGCCGAGAGACCTTGCCCTGGGCTTCCAGCCCTCACCACCCACCCGGCCCTAGGCTGCCCTTGGTCAGGGTGAAAGTGGGGATTCCGAGTGGCCAGCAGACACAGCCCTTATTGGCAATCACAGCTATTTTGCACATCCTCTCCACCCTATACCTTCTGATTTTATTCCCAGCAGCCCAAGGTGAACATCTGGTTTTCCTCAGCTCTCACCCTGGCCCACCGAGTGTCTGTCTGAACATGACCCCAGCCAGCCCTGAACCACAACAGGAAGCCCACCCCTCCCCAGCCTTCTGACAACAGGATCCCAAACGCTTAGCAGAACTGCCTGTTCTCATCATTCCCCTCCTCACATTCAGGGCATCACAAACTATCGCCTTTTCCATGGTTCAATTTGAACAAAATTACATGTCAGGCACGGGCTGTGCACCAAGCAACACATAAACACTCCCTTCCCTCAAAAATCATTTCATTGAGTAAGTATGACATACAAATAGAACACAGAAGAGAATAAAAAGCCATTTAAACCAACTGTCAAATGTGTGGAAGTTCACCCTCAGTTGTATTCCTTCTCTATAATTAGCAGCCACAGCCTCCGAGACCCAGGCTTCCTCCATAAAACTGGCCCAGTCGCTCTTCCTGGAGGAAGGCTGCCACTACTTCCTACGCCAGTGATGCTGCTCCCCCTGCTTAATAGTTTAGCCGTTTGTGCTAGCAAGTCCTTCAAGTAAAACAGAAACGATGAATATGCCTTTTAATCCCTGAAGCAGTGTGTGTGGAGTCCTCGCAGTAGGGCTACAGCAAGGGGGCGAGGTCAGACACCACCGCCCGTGGTGAGCCAGGACACGCGGGCACAAAAGCAGTCCCAACAGCACAGGCTGCCTGTGAAAACACCAAACGAATCAACACACACTGCCCACCCCAGCCCTCAGCACAAACCCCACCTCATCGTCACACCTGAGACACACGAGATTAATATGTGAACCATCCCACGAGCTAAGCAGCAGGAATACAGGGCTTCTTTGCTGGACGGGCACCTTGAAACAACGTGTCAATATTTAGGTATCCTTTTAACAGACGAACTGCTAGGTACACTAAATGAATTCTTCAGTTTTGTCAGGGGTACCTAAGTAAGCTATAAAAGAACACAACAGCGTGACTAGGCAGGGAGTGGAGGTTCATTCCAGTCTGGTTATTATAAAGATTCAGACGGAAATATCCAGACTTCGCCTACAGAGCGAAGGACTCAGACACCTCCCTGCCAGACCGGCTCCTGACGGGAACCTCGGTTCCTACTGACGCGGAGGCAACATGATCCCTTCCCTTGGCCTCTCTTGTCAACTGTCTTCCCGAATGACTTAAGGGCCCTGGAATTTCCTGACTCCGACAATTTTCATGTCAGCCCTTATCCCCTGGCAGCATGTCCCCTGTACTCCTTTCTTGGCTCTAGGCTCAGTGGCCAGGACACTGCCGGGCACTTCAGGACATAAGACAAAGCCGGGAGCCATGTGGGCAGATAACGTTTCAGGGCTATTATAGAAGTGCGGGCGTTAGGGAAGTTTAGGGGCAGGGATGTGGCGGAGCAGGAAGACTTCCGATCAGGTTGCAGGCTGTAAACCAGCAGCCAGCATTCTGCTGGGGGTGGGGTGCTCGGGAGGGAGTCAGTCACAGACCTTCAAGGAGGGACCCCTGCAAGTATTCTGGAATTTTGTGCCATTCCTCCCAGGTCAAAGCAAACCATGAAAACGGGCCCTCAACCTCTGAGGATGCAGAAAGAGCCC